GGGGGGAGCCGCAGGGAGGGCAGGCGGGTGACTCTGGCTCCCGGGGCTCCTTGGCTCTGCCTGCGCACAGGGAAGGGCGCACAAAGAGCTCGCTCAGCGCCAGCCCTCGCTGCCCTGCCTCCTGGCCGCCAGCCCAGCGCTGCCAAGGGCCCCGCACCCTGCAGAGCCTGCAGCCGCGCTGGCTGCCAGCACCGCTCTCTCCCGCCCGCGCGCCTGCTCTCCACGGGCCTCCTGCTCAGGCAGGCGCACAGCAGCGCCTCGGGCGCCCCAGGCCTGCCAGCCAGCAGCTGGCCTGACACCTCCCGCCGCTTGCTGCCCCTTTGCAAGCCCGAGGCGAAGCGGCTCCCGCTGCTGTGCCAGGAGCTGCAGGCGGCAGTGGCTGCACCTTTCCCCCACCGAGCGGGGGCTCTTGGTGCCGGCAGCTCCACCGGGAGCACTCCCCGCCCTCCCGCTGGGCGCCACCCGCGGGGATCGGGCGGCAGGGCTCACCTGAGGATGGCGTCCAGCCAGAGCTGCTTCACCTCCGGCGACCTGCGGCACAAAGGAGAAACAGCCTCAGCCCGCGCTGCTGCTCCTCCTGTGGACGCAGGCGGCGCCCCGACAGCTCCTGCCCGCGCCCGGTGGGCAGAGTGCACGGGACGGGGCCGAGCCGCGTGGGGCAGGACGGGGATTCGTGCGGGGCCCCCACACTCACCCAAAAGTCACCACGCAGAGGCTGGAGGGCCAGACGAGGATGAGGGTCTGGCTGCACTTGAGGCCAAAGACCTCCTCGTCGTCCTCAGGCCCGGCCGCCACCGCCGCCTCCTGGCGGCACAGCACCCACAGCTCGCTGAGGCGCACCCGGTGCTTCAGCCGGAAGGTGGAGCCGCATCTGCCGGGAGGAAGAGCAGGGACGGGCTCCTGGGGGTGCGCGGCGGGGGCAAGCGCAGGCGTCCTGCCTGGCAGAGCTGTGGGCTGGGGCAGAGGCGGCCGGGCGGGCGGGATGTCCTTACTTGAAGCTGGCGATGGCGACGGCGTGCGGGAAGAGCAGGAGGTGGCGGTGCTGCGTGCGCTGGTGCCGTGTCACCTGCACCCGCTGGGTGAGGAGGAGCTGGGGGCTCCTGCGCGACACGAAGGCGCCGAGCGGCGCCGGGGGCCGGGAGGCTCCCCTGGCCTCGAGCCCGGGGCCGGATTCATTTGCTG